TAACTGGTTAGCATTCGTGCTTGCATCTGCACACCACATAACATAATGAATTTGCAGTTCACAAACTTTGGATACTAAAATAACCAATTAAGGCAACTGGTTTCCTTTTTTTGACTGGGGACATGCCAATTCATAATCAGAGGTAATAATACAAATCCTCAATATTTTGCACAAATGCCACAATAGAAGGAGCACAGGTACTGGTAAACCCATTACCCCTGTTATGTGGCAAGTGATGCAGTGAGGCCTTTCTGTTCCTCAACCACACACACTTGTATATTAAGGTCCAGTGCTACTATCACATACGTTGTTTTTTAAAATCACAATCACACTCGCACATCATAGAGCATATGAACAAAACCAGAGATTTACAGCAGCAGATCTGAAAGACAAAAACAAAACCAAAGTCAGTCACAAACTATAAATAAGAAAAAGGCGAAATTCATTTCTACAAATAAACTTAAAACTGATTTACAAATGAAAATGGTTCCATTATAAATCTGTAGTACTTTCTACTCCAGTTTAAATCATGCAACAGCAAATCATATTATTTTGCTTGTCCCATATAAAATTCACGTTCTAGAAAACTTGCTCCGATTATAATACTTCTACATTCTAAATACAAAAATTATTTCAACTTCATACCTGGAACTGTGCTATTATTCTCTTGATTCTGCTTCTTGTTCAAATTCTGCTCAAATGCTATAAATGGTGAAGGTGGATTGCTATTAACAGCATCTTCATTACTGAGCTTAGTTTGGCCCAAGTCAATGATCTGGTCAAAGTTTGATGCTGCAGGGGTGATGGTAGTGGTGGACGTGAGGGAGGAGTTGAGAGGGTCTAAAGAACCTAGAAGGTTGTCCGTCCTGTTTCAGGAACAAAAATTAAACAAATTATATCTTTAATTCCCTAAAAAATATGAAAAAAAATGGCACTTTAACTAATAATTATGTTTTCTAAGAAAACATATATTAGTTTCATATACTGTATTAAACAGTATAAAGTACAGAATTGCTGTTTTATATATCACTTTTTCTCTTTTGGGAAAACACAACCTTTCCTCCAACAATCAACAGAGCTCTTAATTTCTTTTTTATTATTATTATTTCCCTATAATGTAAATTGCAATAACCTGTACTTCTTACAATTGTATCATGTTATTTGTTGACAATTTCAAATGTTTTATTACATCAAAGGCCAACAGTAGTACACTGGAATTACAGTCTAACAGAATAGTACAGGTATTAGGATAAATCTGAAATTCACTCTTTGTATGTGCTTGCTTAATGGTTCTTGGCAGATTCATCATTTCATTATTACAAGCTAAGCAATAGTGGGGTGAATATCTGCTTACAGTGAGTTCTGCTATAACGCATGTTTTGATAACGCGAATTGGCTCTAACGCGATTTATGAATAGAGGAACGATATTTGTAAAACGCGAACGCTTGTTTGCTGTAACGCGATTTTTGCTTACTATTTCTCCAATTTTGTGGTATTAACTATGAATATGGTAAAGAAGAATATCTCCAAGAAGCGTTCTGGTGATCGCATTCCCGGTGATGATCGTAAAAGAAAGGCTATAACACTTGAAGAGAAGCTTGATGTTATCAACCTCAAAATCACCCTTCTCCCCCATCAATTTATATTCATATTTTTTCAAGGTAAAGTGTTACATTTACTGTATGATTTCATTATTAGATATGAATGTAACATTTATTTAGACTGTGCTATCCTTTGTGTTAGGCTAACTACTAAATTTTTTTCGATTTCAAGTAATCTGCACCTAACCCTATTTGTTCCATAAGCCGTTATTTCTATTGCGCGAATTTCTATAACACGATGTTTTACAAGAACACAACTATCGCTTTATAGCAGAACTGACTGTACTTAATTCATTCATGTTATAATTATATTTTTTATACAGTATTAACATTACAGAAAGCCCTTTTACTGTGTGTGTGTGTGTGAGATACAATGCAAAAGGAAATTGCAATTAAAAAGTGACAAAATTAATATACAGTACAGTTGGTCCTCACATTAAGCGGTCCCGCATTCCGCGTTTCCACGTTACCGCGGTGCCTTGCCAGAACCTAACATTTTCACATTTCGCGGTCGCGAACGCCATTCCGCGGAGTGTGTCCGGCGCGACGCTATTTTTAGATTTTCCCCATGCGCCACCCGCCCGCCTGCCTGCCTCTCCCTCCTCCTCCCTCCGCTTGGGCAAGCGGCGCGGTAAGGTTGCGCAGGGTGTCTTTGTTGCGTTATCACTGACGTCATATGACGTACAAGACCTGTGATTGGCCATGCATCCCTACCCTCCTCTGCTGCTAGCTGTAATTGGCTTAAAGTATTATGACGTGTCCACCCAGGGCAGGGAGGGAGGGAGGAGAGACGACGCTTGACCTAGCCGCGACAGTCTCATCCCTCAAGGCCACTCCGTGTTATCGCGCATCCATTGTTCCGTAAAATGGCTTCCGCCGGACCACCACCCCCAGAGAAAAACCTTTCCTTACCTGGACCCAGCGGCACTAAGCCAAAGAGGACACGACGTTCCTTAAGCTACGAGGTGAAGTACCAAATTATTCAAGATTTGGAGAAAGGAACACGGCAAGTTGATCTCGCGCGCCAGCATGGCGTCAACGAATCTACGATCCGGACTATAAAGAAGGATTCAGCCAAGATAAAGGAGCACATGAAGATCACAAAGTCTACAGGTGCTTCTATGATCAAGTATTTTCACAACCGGGTGCTTCTCAAGACAGAAAAATTACTTGTGAGGTACTTGGTGCGTCAGGCGCGACGCAACATGGCGGTCGACACGCGCTCTGTGAAGGACTACGCACGTGAACTGTACATGGCAGTGGCACGAAAGATGGGAACTTCAGAGCCCAAACCCTTTACTGCTTCCTCTGGGTGGTTACAGAGGTTTAAGATCCGGAACAAGATCACCAATATAAACATTGGTGGTGAAGAAGCGAGTGCTGATCGTGCTGCGGCTCGGGAATTTCCTCCGTTTTTACGTGAGATTATGGAGGAAGGACAGTACACCGACGACCAGGTGTTTAACATGGACGAATCTGGTCTTTTCTGGAGAAAACTACCTTCCAAGTCCTACATTGTGAAGAATGCCACCAGGATTCGGGGCCGGAAAATGCAGAAGGAACGCATCACCGTCCTGTTTGCCACCAATGCCTCCGGTACCTGTAAGCTCAAGTTATCGGTGATCCACACAGCCCGCAAGCCGAACGCCTACAAAACCATGGACATGACCAAGCTAACTGTCCACTGGCTGACAGCACGTAAGGCATGGATGTTCTCTACACTGTCCCTCTCCTGGTTTGATGACTGTTTTGTTCCCGATGTAAAAAAAATCTGTGAGCAACAGAATGTGCCATTTAATATTTTGTTGCTGCTGGACAACGCACCAGGACACTCGCCCCTACTCTTAGATCGTCACCCCAACGTAAAAGTGGTCTTCCTTCCTCCCAACACTACGTCTATATTACAGCCCATGGACCAGGAGTTGATTTGCAATGTGAAAGCTGCATTCTCAACAAAAAAATTCCAGCTCCTGAACGACTACACCAACACCAGGGAAGAGTTGCGTGACCTGAGTGACACCACCACCGATAGCAAGAGCGACGAAGATGAGGAACAACGGTTAGAACAGCAAAAAATACTCTTCAAACAATTCTGGAGAATATTTAACATCAAGAAAGCTGTGGACATCTTGGTGGAGTCATGGGAACAGCTGCCTATTGCTACAATTCGTCACGCATGGAGACATGTGTTGCATGGAATACCAGGTGAGAGGAGGAGTCAATCTGTGACTGGTGAGGTTCAGAATGTTGCAGTAGCAGTGGACCTTGCCAGAGAAGCTGCGCAGACTGTTACTGTTACAGTTCCAGGCTTCTCCGAGACCACCAACAACGACATCCTGGAGGTGATCAGAAATCCTGAAGTGACTGCCGACGAGATGTTGGAAGAAGAACACGTCAGTGAAGAGGAGGAAGAAGGTGCGTCAGTCTCCGAAGAACACAGTTTAAGTCATAGTGATATTAAGTGTGCCATGGAGTTTGCAGAGAATATTAAGTCCGTCCTTTCCCGCGACAATGACGATGACCGCTATGAAGTCTTCCATAACCGGCTGGTGCAGGCTATGGAGCCGTACATCACGGTGTATCACGACAACATCAACGCCAGCCGTCAGCAAAGCATAACAGATTTCTTCACCCGCAACCCACCACAGCCAGCCCAAGCCAGTGATAGTGACAGTGAAGTTGACTTTGAGGGATTTGTCAGGGAAGCCCTGACAACTGTAAGTGACAGTGATGATGATTCACCTAGTAATGGTGATTCACCTGAGGGCCAGTAATCTGCCCTCTGCCTTGGAACCAGCCTCCATCCCCGTATGCCGACCCATCTCTTCTACTACCGTAAGTGTTCCACAAAATTTTTCGTTTTTTAACCTATTCTTTATTTTTCCTATGTTAACCTTTATCTTTCCTAACCTAACCTCTTCTATATTACTTGTTTTTTCATACCATCATAAAGTTAAGATAAAATTTTTACTTCAACATAGTTGTGTGTCGTCAAAAAGTGGAGTTTGGGGATCGGCCTGGACTCTATTTCAATTAATCCCATATGTTATGTTATTCACTTTCCGCGTTTCTCACTTTCCGCGGGACCCTCTGGGTTACATTAACCGCGTAATGTGAGGACCAACTGTACCTTAGAGTACAGTAATAGGATGCAGAGAAAGTGAAATAAGTGTTGGGCTGAGTAGACGAGTCATTCCTCAGGGTGTTTTAACAAGAGATAGGGAAGTGAAAGATTGGTAAAACGAGTACAATTCAGTGGTGGAAAGAGAGGGGAAGGTCACATATAGTAAGGGGTTGGATACTGGAGAAGCAACAGTTATAGTGAATGACTAGAGAATAGGACATCAGGGTATTTTCAAGGAAGATGATGCTATTGGTGGGTTATAATATGTTGTGTGAAGTGACAGGGGTGGAATAACTTGGAAAGGGAGTGCATCTTATATTTGTACAACTTGTGTCAATGGTCTAAAACCCCAAATTCTGAAAAAAAAGGAAAAAAAAAAGTGTGCTGCACCCCAAAGATATGTTCAAAACTTCTTTTACTCTTCACCAAAAATGTTAAATCGGTAATAAAAATTGATTTGGTATATCTAGTGATAAAGGTATATTCTGGTACAACATTTAGTCTTTGCTAACGACCTTTTCGGAAGCTGCTGCTGAGTGGATATTGTACTCGTCTGTCTTAAGGGTCACTGGCTTACCCACCCCAGTCCACCTAGCTGTGAATGGGTATCTAACTTAATTTTACAGATGACGAGGTGAAGGCAGTGACGTAGAGTACTAGTCACTCTCTCTTGTAATGAAAATAAGGTTACCTACAGTGTGTGTAGTACCTGCACAGCCCCTCCTGACAAGGTGACATTTTCAATGATCCTTAAAGTTATTTGAAGTTTTTACCCACTAATGATTTGCTTTCTATAGGTTTTGGATATCATGTTTTCACTCTGCTATTAAAATTTGGATATGACAACTTCTGTTTTCATGTTATATACAGTATAGTGTTGTGTGCCAGATTTGCTACCAACCAGATACAGAAGAAGAGCACAGAGCAGTGCTATGACCTGTACATGGCCTTCATTGACCTGCCTCAGTAAACAAGGAAGCTTCTTTGGAGGACCCTCAGTAGCTGTGGTTACTCACCAAAATTCCTCACTATTGTGAGGAAATGCCTTGATTGGCAAAAGCAGCAGCATCCTTCATATTGGCATCCAGATAGAATTCTCCCCCCATCCAAATGGGGGTTACACAATGATGTATACTGACACCAACCCTCTTCCATTTTTTGGGCTGCCCTCCTTTAAGCCATCCATGCCAGCACCAGTCTCTACATTCAGGTACCAGATGAAATCTTAACATAACTGAACTTCAGTATGCAGAAGATCTCAAAGATACTTTTGCACACCTTAGCCTCATATGTGGGCAACACACATATTCTGCACCAACCTGCCCCTCCATCAGTTAAACCCCCACTGTCTGACCAGATGAACAAGATCACCCTCTTCAGCATTAACCATTTGTTGTACGTTGGCTTCAACCGTGGACATTTAGAAGATCTAACAAATATTGGATCAAGCGTGCTTCTCAGGTCTTCAGCAGATGTGTACCTGCTTGTCTATTGAGCAATGGTCCTCCGTACCCTGCTATACTCGCATAGCAGCATAACATGTGTTGCATTCAGACAACATCACAAGGTGCCTAAGAGTTTTCATTTGTGAAATCTCTTATCCATCCTCTGAGTCTGCTGGGAAGACAGGAGGTCAAATGGCATTATCCTCACTGACACTAACTGTAGGAGAATTGAGGCTAACATACATTGTTTAGGAGCAGCTATGTTGGACTGGCCATGTTGCCCACATGAATGAATGACTACAAGAGCAGCTATTTATAGTCATTTTAAAAATGGCAAACATAGTGCAGGGGGTGGGGTGAGTTGACACTTGAACTTGGGAGACAATGACATCACCCACCCTACATCATCAAAAAATAAGGAATAATGTATGAATGAGAGGTGTTTCCACTGCTCTTCTCACACTATATGTAGAACTTCACATAATGCATCCTCTGTGAATAACTCTGCTAATCCCAAATGGACCTATTAAACAACTTAAAGAGCTTGCTAATGAAGAGGACTCACCATTAAGCAATTCCCATTATTATGTTGTTGCTGGAAAAATATCAAACTCAAATGACGAGGAGAAAGATAGAGTAAAGGTCAGCAAAGTTGTCTGTCTGTTTGCTATCTGGCATCACAAGAAAGAGATAATAATTCAAGGTTCTATTATTATTCAAAATACTAATATAAGAACCATGAAAATAAAAGAAAAACATATGTCAGCAAACAGAGAAGTTGACTGAGCAGATGTGAGGTGAAAGGAAGAAGGGCAGCCTCTCAGAGAGTGCAGCTTTAGCATGTCAGCAAGATGTGTCTCAGGAACTGTAAATATTCACTGAAGTGGTACAAAGCTATTAAGCAGAATTTCTTGAGAAAAATCAGTTTGCTTATTCCTAATAAAAAAAGCAGTTCACTCTGCCAGAATTTTGTAGGGAGAATGGAAAGTAATACAGGAATGGGTACATGATGTGTTGCAGGATATTAAACATGGGAGTGTAAACCACTGAAGACCACATGATATTGATCCCAACCAAACCTTAACTTAAAAAAAATAAATAAAATAAATAAAATAAAATAAAATACTGTACTCTTTTTCAAACTCAAATCACTGTCACCTATCTGCTCCCTCTTTCCTTTAATATCATTCCTGTACATTGTCATACAGTACACTTGTTTCTTTTTCCCATATGTTACTGTCAACAAATTCAGTTTTTTTAATTTTTCAACAGCCTTCTTTATGCAAGTTCACAAGAAAAAATAATATAAATAAGCTAAGCTGGGGATGACTAGGAACAGGAAGGGTCAAGTTGATAGGCAGTGGAGGAAGACTAAAGCATGTGGATTTTTCAGATCAGTACACTAGTAACAATTTGAAAAATGGCTTGTATAGAACAAGCTGTACAACAAGGAGGAAATAAGAAAAAGTAAAAGAATTCAAATTTTAAATACATAAGGTATTACAACTATGTCCAAATTTAAATTAGTAATAAAAACCTATAACTTACCCTTGAGTGGTTTGTGGTGGTGTATTATCTACTCCGTTATGATTTACACTATGTACATCACTAAGGGTTCCCAACAAGTCAACAGACTGAGTGGGAGTTGTGTCCATGGGCACTGGGGAATCCCCATTTACATGTGGTTCTTCCACTTTAATTGAAGACATACCACTAATGAGGTCATCCACCTGATAGTTTTCTGTGGTAGAGGTCACCTCAACCTTTGAATACATCACTTCCTCCCTAACAGAAGATTTAGAATCAACAGCTATTTCAGTGGTTTGACTCTGTGAACTTGAATCCGTATGATGTTGATCGGATTTTAAGGATACATCACTAGTTGGTGCAGCATTAGTGTCACTTGAAGGCTGAGATATCACATCACTAGCTGGTTGTAAAGAAACATCACTAAGTGGCTGAGTGCTTGCTTGAGAGTCTGATGTAGATGTGGCTGGCTGTGAGTCGGTTCTTGGCTCAGACTGGGATTCAGAAGCAATAATAGAGGACATCATGGAGTCAGTCATGCTAATGCTCATCTCTCCATCACCAAAATTCTTAGCTTCATCTGAAGGTGTTTTTGCTTCAGCCTGTATGAATAAGAATTTTAAAGTGTAAATATTATAAAAGCAAAAGCAAGAATATGAATACAGTATCATGTCATATTATCACAATTATTGTCTGTACCGTTATGTCATTTCACATACATGTTGCTAACATACAGTATACAGTATTACCCCGCTTTACACGGTTTCACTTAACGCGATTTCTCATATACGCGGTGCCTCGCCAGAACCGAACTTTCACTTAACGCGGTTCATCTACTCACATACGCGGGAAGCGGCGGGGGCACGATGCGCACAAGGTCGCCCAGTCATCAAAACATTACCGAGTTCTTCACCCGCCACCCACCACAGCCGGCCCAAGTCAGTGATAGTGATAATTATAGTGAGGATATGGACTTATATGGACTTTGAGGGGTTTGACAAAGAGGCCCTGCAAGCCTCTGTGGTGGATAGTGATACAATTGATACAAGTGAGGGCCAATAATCTGCCCTCTGCCTCGGAACCAACCCCCCATCCCCGTGTGCCCAGCCATCTTTTCTACTAATGTAAGTGTTAAAATACCTAATATTATTGATATTTCTCTTAATTATTAATTGTGTGTGCATACCATCATAAAGTTAAGATAATATTTTTACTACAACATAGTTGTGTGTCGTCAAAAAGTGGAGTTTGGGGGTCGGGCCAGTCTCTATTGGAATTAATCCCATATGTTCTGTTGTTCATTTAAAGCGGTTTTCACTTAACGCGATACCCTGTGGGTTCAATTGACCGCGTAAAGCGGGGTACAACTGTATATAGGAAGACATTTTCATTATGTCAATTGTTTCACATATATGTCATCTGTATCATCCACTGTCTGTGTGTACCAGAATATAACATTTATATAGTGTTAAAAGCATCTAAGTGGCAGAGCCGCTATTCCACTGTCAACTACACTACATTATCTCTTTTAGGTGTGTGTGTATAGGAGGGGGGGGGGGTGTTCTTTCCTTCCAGGACAAACATTATCACTTTCATGTGGGAGTCCCCACACTATACATCAACTACACTATAAATTTTTGGTGCCTTTCTATTTCTCTCCAATAATACAGTGTTTACTATTAAGGGTTAGACACTTGGGATTGGGATGGACTAACCCTCTGGGGGTGCATGTGCATCTTCACATTAAATTTCAGATATATCTTCAAAACTGTAACCAGAGATCACACGGACACACAAACAGACCTCGTACATATATATATATATATATAAACTGATAAGAGTGATGTCAAACTCACCTTTGTAGGAGTATTTGATCCCCCTTTCCCGCGAGTCCTGGCCATTATAGCGGCCACACGACTTTTACGAGCTTGACGTTCTTCTTCCTCTCGTCTCAGACGTTCCTCTGTTTCTATACGTTTTTGCTGTTCTAAACGTTCAGCCTAGAAAATACAATATTTTTACAACTTATGATAGCATGAAAATAACAATACTGTATTAAACCACTTCCCACTAGATGCCATTGTAAGCTTTTACATGAAGGTGAGTTTTTGCAAATTCCGTATTGCTCTTGAAATGTACCATGTCAGTATATTCCCTGGATAAACAATTTAGTGATAAGTGTAACTACCTCTTCTCTCTGTTTTTCTTCTTCCTCCCTCCTCTTTGCTTCTTCTTCACGGTTTCGATCGGCTTCTTCTATAGCTTTCCTCAGACGTTCTTCTTCTGATTTTTTCTGCTCCGCAATCATTTTTAGGAATTCTTCTTCCTCCTTTCTTTCACGCTCCTCCTCATCAAGCTAGAAAAGTTTTTTTATTTATTTTTTTATTGATTGAAAGGCAGTCATTAAACTAATCAAATATAAATTTAATGTCTTTGCCAATCACTTAATATGAATCATGAAGTTGAGTCACTTTTCATAAAGATCATATTGGTTAAGAAGTACAGATTTTTCATAATGTTTGTGAAACTATCCAATTTTGTATAATCGAGCTATTACATAGGATACAGACAAGCACACGTACTTTAAATTATATGGTTGGCGCCAGCCACCAGTATCCTACCAGGCAATAAGTAAAACCAACATTAAAGTAATTTGGTTGTCTTTTGGCTATGCTCCCATTCATGATCCTCCCTCACTAATTAAACTCACAAGGTAGCTAAATTTAATGGTCTACCAGAGGTTTCCTAGCTCATGTTGTTCAATAAACCTTACCTTTAGCCATTTCTATATCCTTTTTTTACTTTTCTACATAAATTCCCAAGGGAGGCTTGTCAGATTTGTGAAAACGTAGCATTTTACTACACTCGGTCAACTACACCCCCCCAACACTGATTTGACATTATTTTGCATGTGACTATAGATTGAAGTATATTTCCTCCTGAATTACATTATGAATGACCTTTAGTACTGAAATTTGTGGTTAATTAATTTTTTTATGTACCATAGTCAATACTATGAAGAGGTATAGTCTTAAAACCTTTTAACTATTTATTTGCAGTGATTATCTAAACATGAAGAAAAGGCTACAATGTTGGTGATCATCAGAACAACATAAAGCTGATAGTTTACAGTAAGTCCTCGTTTAACGTTGTCCCCCGACAATGTTATTTCATTATAATGTTGCTACTCTTTAGATACCCATGATTTGGACAACGTCCCGCCGATTCGGTGTAACGTCGTCACGGACTACTTTGTACGGCACATCAGCCTCTCTCACCCAGTCAGAGCGGGAGGAGGAGCCACCTTCCCAGTCTCAGTGACTCGCCACCCTCCTCTCCACTACCCACCACACACACTCGCTTCACCTCCGCCCATCAATGAGCCACCCTCCTCTCCACTACCCACCACACACACTCGCTCCACCTCCGCCCATCAATGAGTACAATACAAAATGATTTAGTTTATTTATCTTTTTGGATGTATAACATATACTATTTTCTATAAAAATTCCATTGAATTTATGTATATGTAATGTATTTTATGGGGCAAAGAGAGGCTAGGGAACGTAACTCCTGTACTGTAGTTTATCTATTTCTTATGGGGAAAATTGATTGTTAACTTTGTTTCTGTTAACGTCGCGGTTTTCAGGAACGGAACCACGACGTTAATCTAGGACTTACTGTACCTCCTAAGGCATCTCATATTACAAGGGTTTTGTGTATAGATATTTACAGTCTTCACTGGAAACATTACACTGCTTTCTTTATCATCAGCAAGAATTTATTTTTTTTGTACAGACTCAGACAAGGAGTGTAAATTTTTAAACATTCAAACTAAAATTCAGACATGAAGCAACCGTTAATGTGGAGGAAATATCATTCGTGTCATTTAAAATGTGTTGGGACTGTAAACTGTACTTTGCATACTGCACAATCTGCAAAGCTTTGCTGTATAATCCAAGTATACAATTATTATTATTTTTTAAATCACAATGGCCAAAGAGAGAATTCTCGTGACAAAATTATGCTGGTCCTTATATGTGCACCAAGTCCTGTGGATAAGTAAGTTACGTATGATCTGGACTCACGTATACTGCATCAACCTAAAAAAAAAAAAAGTATATATATATATATATATATATATATATATATATATATATATATATATATATATATATATATATATATATATATATATATATATATATATATATATATATATATATATATATATATATATACTGTATATATATATATATATAGACGATGAATTGAAACACATTCGTTCTATTGCACATAAACTTGGGTACCCTTCTTTGTTTGTTGATCGTTGTTTTAAAAGGGCTAAAAAATCCTTTCATTCCTCTCAAACCAGACAAGTTCCTACACTTAAGAATATTTTGACTCTGCCCTATCGTAATGAATTTGTCCCGTTAGTTCGGTCCCTCAAGCTTCTAAATATTAATGTTGTTTTCAAGTATGACTCCACCATTACCAATATGTTAATAAGGAATAGCCCAAGTTTGAATGTAAATGGAAGTGTTTATTGTATTCCATGTAGCAAATGTAATTGTAATTATGTAGGTCAGACAGGAAAAACACTGCAGCTCAGAATCAAACAACATAAGTATAATATCAGAACTGCATCTGAAAGCAGTGCCTTGTTTGTTCATGTTAGGAATAATAATCACCCCATTGCTTGGGAAAAAAGCTTAGAAGTATTCAAATCATCTTGTGTCACAGAAAGACTTCTTGTTGAAGCTAGTTAGATTAAGGAATTAAAATCAATAAACCTTAGTGATGGTCAGTTCAAAACTGATATGTTACATAAATTTATTTGTCAGTGGCCCAAGGTTAAAAATGCTTTGAAAACCTTTGATCTAGATGTATGATAGTTATTTTGTGGGTCCCTTTTTTCTGACCTGACTTGGCTAGTCACGTCACCACCCTTCTCTTAAGCTCCTCTAAGTGTGTGTTGGTGTGGGGATTAGTGGATGTCATCATTTTGACCTGACCTCATGTTTTTAGGTCACCCTGTATATTTAAGCCTCTCTCTGTCCATGTAATCCAGTTGCCTCTGAAGATGTCTTGAATAAAGACGAAAGCTAAGGTACTCCGTTGTTTCCATTTTCCCATGTGATTTTATCAAATATATATATATATATATATATATATATATATATATATATATATATATATATATATATATATATATATATATATATATATATATATATATATATATATATATATATATATATATATATATATATATATATATATATATATATATATATATATATATATATATATATATATATATATATATATATATATAGTATAATTTCACTTAACGCGGTCAATTGAACCCAGAGGGTCCCGCGTTAAGTGAAAACCGCGTTAAGTGAATAACAGAACATATGGGATTAATTCCAATAGAACCCAGCCCGACCCCCAAACTCCACTTTTTGACGACAAATAACTATGTTGTAGTAAAAATAACATCTTAATTTTATGATGGTACATGCACACAATTAATACTTAAGAGAAATACAGTCGCCAAGTTAATGTCCATTCAAATAATGGACTCAACTCCCTCCCCTCTCACACTACAGTACACAGCCAGCTAACAGATGGTCGGTCGGTCCCTCCCTCCCCCCCCCCACCCCCCACCAACCGTCCCAAGGAGATGTGTGGGATAACCTCAAACTAAAGTTAGGAAAATATAATTGACATTGCTGGATTCCTTGTAAGACCAGGAATATTTTGAATATAAATGTCATATATTTTTCACAAAAGATAACATACTTACTCAGATTAAACATTTTATCTAAAAATTGTATGTTTAATGCAAAAAATATGTTATTTATATTCAAAATGATCACCAAATTATAAGAATTCCAGCAATGTAAATTATATTCTGGCCGGATAATTTGTATGAATTTTATGAGCTAAAACAAATATCTACAGTTAATAAAAAAAAAAATATATTCTTCAACACTATCTGTCAATCAAAGTACCCCACCTTGCCTCCCCCCCTCTTCCAACTGCACGGTCAGTCCCAACCCTCCCCCCACCCCCCACCAATCCTCCATTCAGTATTAAATAATACCTCAGATTAAAGTTAGGATAATATAATTGACATTGCTGGATTCCTTGTAAGACCAGGAATATTTTGAATATAAATGTCATATATTTTGGACAAAAGATAACATACTTACTCAGATTAAACATTTTATCTAAAAATTGTATGTTTAATGCAAAAAATATGTTGTTTATATTCAAAATGATCACCAAATTATAAGAATTCCAGCAATGTAAATTATATTCTGACCGGGTAATTTGTATGAATTTTATGAGCTAAAACAAATATCTTCAATTAAAAAAAAATAATTCTTCACCGGTCGGTCGGTTGGTCCCTCCCTCCCCCCCACCCCCCACCAACCGTCCCAAGGAGATGTGTGGGATAACCACTAAATTTTAATAAATAATACCTCAAACTAAAGTTAGGATAATATAATTGACATTGCTGGATTCCTTGTAAGACCAGGAATATTTTGAATATAAATGTCATATATTTTGGACAAAAGATAACATACTTACTCAGATTAAACATTTTATCTAAAAATTGTATGTTTAATGCAAAAAATATGTTGTTTATATTCAAAATGATCACCAAATTATAAGAATTCCAGCAATGTAAACTATATTCTGGCTGGGTAATTTGTATGAATTTTATGAGCTAAAACAGGCAGTCAGGCAGGGTGGCGGGTGGGGGGTGGTGCGAATCTAAAAATAGCTCTCGAGCCGGACACTCACCGCGTTGCTGTGGAAAAATCCGCGTTAAGTGAAAGTTCAGCTTTGGCAAGGCACCGCGTATATGCGAAAACGCGTTAAGTGAAAGCGCGTTAAGCGGGGTAATACTGTATATATATATATATATATATATATATATATATATATATATATATATATATATATATATATATATACAGTGATATAACGCGTGTTTTGATAACGCGAATTTGCTCTAACGCGATTTATGAATTCGGAACAATATTTGTATAACGCGAACGCTTGTTTGCTATAACGCGATTTTTGCTTACTATTTCTCCAATTTTGTGGTATTAACTGTGAATATGGTAAAGAAGAATATCTCCAAAAAGCGCTCTGATGATAGAATTCCCGGTGATTATCGTAAAAGAAAGGATATAACACTTGAAGAGAAGCTCGATGTTATCAACCTCAAAATCACCCTTCTCCCCCATCAAGTTACATTCATATTTTTTCAAGGTAAAGTGTTAAATTTACTGTATGATTTCATTATTAGATATGAATGTAACATTTATTTAGACTGTGCTATCCTTTGTGTTAGGCTAACTACTAAATTTTTTCGATTTCGAGTAATCTGCACCTAACCCTATTTTCTCCATAAGCCCTGTTATTTCTATTACGCGATTTTCTATAACACGATATTTTACAAGAACACAATTATCGCGTTATAGCAGAACTGTATATATATATATATATATATATATATATATATATATATATATATATATATATATATATATATATATATATATATATATATATATATATATATATATATATATATATATATATATATATATATATATATATATATATATATATATACACACACAGTATTACCCCGCCTAACGCGGTTTCACTTAGCGCGTTTTACCATATACGCAGTGCCTCGCCAGAGCTGAACTTTCACTTAAAGCGGGTTTTTTCCACATATACGCGGTGAGTGTCCGGCTCGAGAGCTATTTTTAGATTCGCCCCACCCCCCACCCTGCCTGACTGCCTGTATTAGCTCATAAAATTCATACAAATTACCCAGCCAGAATATAATTTACATTGCTGGAATTCTTATAATTTGATGATCATTTTGAATATAAACATCATAGACTTTGCATTAGACATACAAATTTTAGATATAATGTTTACTCTTGAGTAAATATGTTATCTTTTGTGCAAAATATATGACATTTATATTCAAAATATTCCTGGTCTTACAAGGAATCCAGCAATGTCAATTATATTATCCTAACTTTAATCTGAGGTATTATTTAATACTAAATGTTAAAAACTCTTGAAGGGAGGATTGGTGGAGGGTGGGGGGGGAGGGTTGGGACTGACTGCGCGGTTGGAAGAGGGGGAAGGCAAGTTTGGGTACTTTGATTGACAGATAGTGTTGTGAAGAATATTTTTTTTTTTTTTATTAACTTAAGATATTTGTTTTAGCTCATAAAATTCATACAAATTACCCAGCCAGAATATAATTTACATTGCTGGAATTCTTACAATTTGGTGATCATTTTGAATATAAACATCATAGATTTTGCGTTAGACATACAAATTTTAGATGTAAAGTTTATTCTGAGTAAATATGTTATCTTTTGTGCAAAATATATGACATTTGTATTCAAAATATTCCTGGTCCTAACTTTCGTTTGAGGAATTATTTATTACTATACCTGGTTTTCCCCCCAAAATTTCTCAGAGGGAAGAGCCAGCGGGTGTACTGTGAGAAGAGGGGGGAGGGAGTCGAGTCCATTATTTGAATGGACATTAACTTGGCGACTGTATTTCTCTATTTCTCTTAAGTATTAATTTTGTGCATGTACCATCATAAAATTAAGATGTTATTTTTACTAGAACATAGGTATTGTGTCGGAAAAAGTGGAGTTTGGGGATGGGCCAGTTTTTATTGGAATTAATCCCATATGTTCTGTTGTTCACTTAACGCAGTTTTCACTTAACACGGTACCCTCTGGGTTTTATTGACCGCGTTAAGTGGGGTACAACTGTATATATATATACACTGTATACAGCTCCTCACTGACTTACGATGGGGTTAGGGACCCAAATCCAGGTCGTGTCGAAAATGCTTAAATAATACATATAAAATCTAAAATGGGTGTATCTTTTTCTTCTCAGCATCACAAAACTCTCACTTTTAAGCATGCCAGCCATTTTAAAATGAATTACAAACGAAAATTTTGTCAGTACACGGTGCAATCACTGACGTTGGGACTCGAAAATACATAATTTGACAAAATTTTGGTACGACTGAGGCGGTCGTATGCCCGGGTGGTCGAAAGTTGAGGAGGAGCTGTACTGTATATAGTATACTCACCTTTTTCTGTCGTTCTAATTCTAGCTCCCTTTCTTTTGCTTCTCTAGCAATTCTTCGTTTTTCTGCTAAAGCTGCTTTGTATTCTTCTTCTGTAGCATATCCAGTTACAGGCTTCTCTGCAGCTTTCTGGGCTAATGTTTTCTCAGGTTCTCCAATTTTATCATCTTCAGTTAGCTTGTTTGAGCTCTCTTGGATATCTGGAACACTCAGTTTTTCTTCAGACACAAGTTTGTCTTTAGATTCGTCTTTCAATTTCTCATCTTGAGCAAGAGTTTCTGATGTCTGACTAGGCTGTTTACCTTGAGACTCTGTTTCTTCAACTGTGGGACCATCAGGCTTCACAGATTCCTCAACTAGTTTTTTAGTTTCAAGTGCTAATTCCTCAACTACAGGTTCAACTTGTGCCTGTGAATCCTCTGAAGTAGGTTCAATTTGGGCACCTATGTCTTTTTCAGGTTGTAGATTATCAACAACTATTGCCTCCAGCTGTGAATCAGCACCATTGGTTTTTGCCGCTGATTGCATTTCAGTAACACTATCATCATTAATACTTTCTGTTTTACTTTTCTGTACCTTTAATTTTGTTTCTAAAGTTTTATCTTCCTTTATCTTCTTTTTGTCCTCTTTGGTTCCAGGAAGTGGCTTGCTCTCAACAGCTGGGGATTGTGATGGTGTGGTCTTTGGTGTTGATTTTGTCTTAGGTGTAGTTTTACTTTTCTCAACTGCTTTCTTCGCAGCACTTTCAGCTTTAACTTGTGATGGAGTTTTCTTGGGGGTTGCAGCCTTAACTGGAGTGCGAGCTGGAGTGGCTGGTGCACTCCTATCAGAGCCAGCACTTTTGGCTCTTGTGGGCTTACTCGTTGATGAAGTAGATCCAATTGACACTGAAAAATTAAATTTATCATAAAGTATATAAAACTAAAACTAGAATACTGAAAATTGAGTAAGGATCTGTGTGTATAATAATCAAGCATCACATCAAATTAATCTTAAGAAGACGGTATAGTTTAGAAATAGCAAGCAGATAAGATAGCAATGCATATTTAAGGCAATCATATGACACAAAACATACATTTCCTCTCCATAGGCCTGCTTTCCCTTGATGGTGTAGTTGGATCTCTGGGTTTATCTGCAGAAGACAATGAAGTTCCAGCAATGCTGAGTGGGCGAGGTTTGCGAGGAGAGGTTCTTGACCTGAGGGACACTTGACTGCTGTTGTTGGACCCTTGACTCAGAGCAGAGGTAGGACGGGAAGGAGAATTCGGGGTCACTGTCCCACTACGCATGCCTGTGGGACAGAGCAAGCCAGCACGCAATGTTAAGCTGGGCTCTCGAACATCACATAAGCATGCATAAGCTGAAGACAGATATGAATATTGTATAGAAGTCATGACAAGTTCATTGGCAAATTTTATATCAAACATGTTACACCTAATACAGTATTGAGAATTCATTGTTTAAGTAAGGTATAACATCACAATTTAAAGTTAATGAAGATACAACACAGCCACATAGTAGCCAAATACATGAAACATTTTGCACTGAGTAAAAGCCAAGAAGGAAGGCATATAGTAAACAATTATGTGAAATTATTACAGTGAGTTAAAGCACACACATATTAGCCACTTTGTGATCAATTACATGAAATATATTGCATTCAGTGAAAGCAGAAAACAACGTCACATTGTGACTAATATTAATTATATTGCACAAACACACAATATGAAGGGAGTAGATACTAGGGAAATATACACACAGAAGAATGTAAATACTGTACTACAACAGCAATTAATTAAAATAATAAGAAAATAAAGATTACTAACAGAAAACTAAAGTAAAATAAACAAAGCAGTGTTTTTACTGGTTAATGTATACAGTAATGTATTATGTGAATAATAAGTTATATACAGTCAACCCTCACATTACGCGGTCCCGCATTCCGCGTTTCACCGTTAACGCGGTGCCCTGCCGGAACCTAACATGCTCACATTCCGCGGTGCGTGTACCCCATTACGCGGAGAGCGGCTGGCAAGCCGCGCCATTTTTGGATCCAAACCTCCCGCCATCTGCCATGTTGTGTAAGAGGCGCAAAAATGGGGCGCACAAGGTCGCCCAGTCATCAAAACATTACCAGTTCTTCACCCGCCACCCACTACAGCCGGCCCAAGTCAGTGATAGTGATAATTATAGTGAGGATATGGACTTATATGAACTTTGGGGGTTTGACAAAGAGGCCCTGCAAGCCTCTGTGGTGGATAGTGATACAATTGATACAAGTGATACAGGTGAGGGCCAATAATCTGCCCTCTGCCTCGGAACCAACCGCCCATCCCCGTGTGCCCAGCCATCTTTTCTACTAATGTAAGTGTTAAAAACCTAATATTATTGATATTTCTCTTAATTATTAATTGTGTGTGCATGCCATCATAAAGTTAAGATAATATTTTACTTACAACATAGTTGTGTGTCGTCAAAAAGTGGAGTTTGGGGGTCGGCCTGGACTCTATTTCAATTAATCCCATATGTTATGTTATTCACTTTACGCGTTCCTCACTTTCCGCGGTACCCTCCGGGTTACATTAACCGCGTAAAGTGAGGGTTGACTGTATGTTACTTCAAATGCCCTTCCTCATAACTTTATAAACTCCAGGGATTAGCTCTATATTTTATAATAATAATTTAGTTAAAAGTATCTTCATAAAACACAGATTAATAAAAGTTAATGCAACATGTTAATCATATATCAGATGTCCATCAAAAGTCAAAACCAAATAAAGGTGAAGTATTACCAATGTTAAGTGATCCAAAGCTACATGACATACCTGTATAGTTGAAATGATTTGGCCAAACATCCATTAATTACTTACCTGGGATTAGTGTATATATATATATATATATATATATATATATATATATATATATATATATATATATATATATATATATATATATATATATATATATATATATATATATATATATATATATATATATATATATATATATATATATATATATATATATATATATATATATATATATATATATATATATATATATATGTTTAGACTGACTTTCTGAGGTGAACATGACTCACCAGTGCTCAAGCAAAAAACCTAACACACTCAAACCATTTCATCGTGACAAAACTTTCTTGGATAAAATTTAGTTTGAAAGCAAATAAGCTCAGAAGCAACACCTAATTTCTTATAACCTTTATCAATAAAAAAATTTTATATATATATATATATATATATATATATATATATATATATATATATATATATATATATATATATATATATATATATATATATATATATATATATATATATATATATATATATATATATATATATATATATATATATATATATATATATATATATATATATATACACACACACACACAGTTGGTCCTCATATTACGCGGTCCGCATTCGCGTTCACCGTTCAGCGGTGCCTTGCCGAAACCTAACATTTTCACATTCCATTCGTGAACCCCATTCACGCGGAGGCGGCTGGCAAGCAGCGTATTTGGATCAACCTCTCCGATATCTGCCATGTTGTGTAGCGAAAATAAAATGCGCACAAAGTTAGCCCAGTCATCAAAACATGACCAGTTCTTCACCATACCACAGCGGCCCAAGTCAGTGATAGTGATAATTATAGTGAGGATATGGACTTATATGAACTTTGGGGGTTTGACAAAGAGGCCCTGCAAGCCTCTGTGCTGGATAGTGATACAATTGATACAAGTGATACAGGTGAGGGCCAATAATCTGCCCTCTGCCTCGGAACCAACCGCCCATCCCGTGTGCCCAGCCATCTTTTCTACTAATGTAAGTGTTAAAAAACTATTATTAATATTTCTCTTAATTATTAATTGTGTGTGCATGCCATCATAAAGTTAAGATAATATTTTTACTACAACATAGTTGTTTTATTAGTCAAAAAGTGGAGTTTGGGGATGGCCGGACTCCATTTCAATTAATCCCATATGTTATGTTATTCACTTGCAGCGTTTCTCACTCACGGTACCCTCAGGTTACATGTAATATGAGGACCAACTGTTGTTTGTGTGTGATATATATATATATATATATATATATATATATATATATATATATATATATATATATATATATATATATATATATATATATATATATATATATATATATATATAAAATCACGGAAAAATGAACCCGTTGTTTCCATTTTCCGGTGATTTTATATATATATATATATATATATATATATATATATATATATATATATATATATATATATATATATATATATATATATATATATATATATATATATATATATATATATATATATATTAATTATTTTTTTTAATTATAGATTTTTTTTACAAATGTCATGTGTTAATTTTAATAAATTGGATACAAAGTCTTATTAGTGTATCACTTTTAAATAATGTGCAATTAATATCTGTTTATTATTCTTATTAAGTAAATTTTATCTTACAAATTTATAAGCAATATACATTTTATGTACCGTACTACTGGACAATAATCTGTGGACCGTATAATGTCTAATAGGGTCTAAGCTGTACAGAAAGATTTATATTTCCATAAACTGTAAAATTGGACTGTTCCTTCTTTCTCTACTAATTCATATTATGGCCACATAATTACACACAACTTGCTAATCTTTCAGACCTCCAACTCTGCACTATCACTGAAGGAAGAGAACTGTACTGTACATCTTCTTTTCTTTATAGGTTCCTTTTACTTATCATTCTCCTCTATCTATTCCTCACTCCCTTATCCTACTTTAAATCTGTTGAGATTATTGTGATTTTATGTACAGTATACAACACTGTTTTAATTTCAAAGTAAGTGAGGTAAATCGTGTAAAACTGCCAAATGAATTTCCTGAATTATTCTACAAATAAGTATACTGTATAGTATATATTTGGAAGAGATGAACACCTAAAAGATGGGGGACAGTCTATAATTGTAATGTTTACGTATATTCTTGCGTTACCCTTTACTGAATATGTGAAACAGCATGCATAGTAAAACAAAGATACACTGTATGCATCATGAAATTTCAATTATCAAGTAATTTCATCAACTGTATACACTGTGTATTGTAGTCTAAATACATAACAAAATATGTTCTCTTCCTGGTATCATAAGCTTTGTATACTTAAACTGCACCTCGACAGTCATTATTAATATTATTTGTACTTGTTTAAGTAAAAGCTACCTTTATATTTCTTTGGATCACTTTACTCCATAATCATAAGAAAGGTAGATTAAATTTTAAGTGGATGGCAGGGCTCACTGTGTGTTGTGTTTTTTATCTTGAAAATTATCATCAATTCTGTAAAAACACACTTGGCGAAAAATATCAAGCTGTAAAGTGACCTCCTCACAATGTACAGACTTAGAAAAAATATCTTGTTTACTACTGCTTGTGTGTAATAACAAGTCTTTCACATAACATGCTTGAAGTTCTAAGCACTCGGTGAATATGGGAGCATCATATCACCAACCAGATAACTGCCTAACAGGCTACCACCGATAAACATTGGTAAGGTCTCTTTGAATTTTGATTTTTTAAATATAAACCAACACCAAATTAAGTTAGTCTTGTTAGAAGGAGCACATCGGTAGACAACCAGCTGGCAACCATCTGGCCTCTACTGAATATTACCAAATTTTATAATCAGCATGTGATATATCCAGAGCAGCACATTCATAAACCAATACAAGTACTACCAACCAGTATATTTCCACAGCACATTACCATTTACATCACACCCTTAATTAATAAAAGCTATTATATATATATATATATATATATATATATATATATATATATATATATATATATATATATATATATATATATATATATATATATATATATATATATATATATATATATATATATATATATATATATATATATATATATATATATATATATATATATATATATATATATATATATATAGGTTATATTGTGTTAATCTACACCATGAAGATGCTGGAAAACCAGCTTTTTAAAAGTGAGACAGATTGCATAAGTATGGAAACACAGAAGAAGGCAGAACATTCCACAGTTTGGCTGTGGAGGAAAGAAGGTACTATAAGGTTATTCTCGTGTGACCGACATCCACAGAGCGGTGGGCAAGACGTGTGTTACAAGCCCACGGCCTTGCGGCGGTACCTGGATGCCAAATCCACCGAACATTGCCCGTTAAAGTACCTGTAAAGAGTGAAGCAACATTACGGCAAAAAGAAA